TCAAGGGGACATATACATTTTGCCCCAAGTAAAAAATGAAGATAGTGAAAACGAAACAGCATTTCAAAAATAAATCAAAATAAAAACAAATTTTTTTTTAAGTATTTTTTCAAGAAAATTTATTTGGTTATTACTAATACCTAATAAAGTAAATACTGTCATAAAAATATTTAATTAAAGCTGACGAGTTAAGTCACCAAATCGTAGTTGACCGGTCAAATACCCAACCCTTCTTTTTATCTGATGTTTATAATTATTTAATCTCGAAAAACATGCATTATCATAAAAAGAAAAATTGTTATTTTAAAATACATTATTAAAAAAGTGATTTTCAAAATTTTTTTCTTCATACGTGAATAAATATGCTATTGAAAAATTTTTGGTGGATGAAAATTACAAATTATTTACTTCAATTAGATTTTATATAAAAAATATTTAAAATTTTTAAGTAAAATTTGATAGGTTTTTCCTCTTTAAAAAAATCTCCATATTTTTGCTCACATTTTTTTGAAGATTTTTTACAACTCTTTCCCTAAATCTTCGTTTTCCGTTAAAAAAAAGAATATGGGAAAAAATACTTGTCGAATAATAAACTATTTTTCTCCATCTCATATTTTGCCCACATCAGATCTTCGTCAAAATCTAGATTAGGCAAATTCACTTAGATATTTTTTTGGCTTAATGACTTATAAATATAATTGAGGTGGTTTACTATATTTTTAGCTGGCTAAAAAATCGGCTAAAACAAGTTTTTACCAGAAAACTATCAAATTGAGGTTTTTATAAAAAGATAGCTGCTCAAATTTGAAAGAAATAAATTAAAAGGCCTTAACGTTAACGGATTTTTAATGGCATGCGCCTGAGGATTGAGCCGTATAGGCGATATTTAGCCATATCCCAACTATACTTATAAACATCATATTTGATTTTAGAGTTAGATGCTTTGATTACTCCTCTAAAATTAGATTATCGAAAATGGTAATTTATTAATTAATCGACACAAATAGATTTAAATTGATTTGCGAAAACAACCCTTCATCGTTGTAAGCTTTAGCCATACGAAGAGACAAGTTCTAATATACCTGAGGACAAATTAATTAAACCATTTAATATCTTAATTACGATTTTATATGATCTTGAACATATCGTTTTAAATTCAAAAATCTCGTTATGGGCTTACTTACAGCCCAATTTCGGAATTAAAATGTTAATTTTTTTTAAAAACTTTGTATTGTACAAATAAAATATAGGATTGATTTTATTCAAATGTCAAGTTGATTTATTGGTTTCATGAGATCCATATAAAATATCAAAATAAACTTCTACAAATTTGGTATAGATTCTTTCTGGAACCTTAAAAATCTTTGAAAATTCTTTGAATGTCTATATTTATTATAGTTAAAAAAAAGATTATAAAAATGATTCATATATTATTAAATAACTTTAATAGAATTACAAGGTTCTAGGCAGGTAATCACAACCGCGTGTGCCAGACTGGCTTCAAATATTGCATTATTTTCAAAATTATCCGACTTTTGTTTATTGTGGCTATAAATTATCATATTTAAATTTATTTTAATTTAAAGAAAAAATAATTAAATTACATGTGCCAGACCTCTTCTGGGGGCAGAAACATATCATAAATATGAATCCAAAAAGTTTTGAATTTGATATATAGTATATCTAATATATCGAGCCCTAATTTTAAGCAATCCTCAGATTTATTAACTAAATTTAATGTATCTAAAAAATATATTGTTTAAAATATTTAATCGTAATAAAATATACGAAAATAGGCGACAATAATTTCGAAACATGTGTAGCAATTTGGAAGTTCTAATTGGTAATTCAACAAGCGCAAGGCTCGAATTTCTGAGTTTAGAAGTGCTTTATAATTATAATCATACTTTTGTTGAGTCAAATATGTTTTAATTGCTTCAGCTGTTATAACCTATAAATAAATAGTATGATTTAAAAAAGTTAATATTGTTAAATTGCATTATCATTGTAAGAATGGTATTTGCTGGCTAACTCGATGGAAGTCAAGCATCTTAATAGTAATTGTTTATTTAGACGCTGTATGATCAGTTTTTTATCTTCTTCACTATAATCATTATGTTTATCTTGTAAACTTCTTAATAATCTTGACATAAATCTGTAAAATTATAGTAACATATTTTTTTTGAGACTATATTTATCATACTTATCAAATATTTCAACAGCTAAATATTTAACATTTGGAGGTTGATTGGTAACTTCACAGACATTAAAAATACACTGAATAGACTCAGGTGTCTTAAAATATTTCTAAAAATATATAAATTGTAAGATTTTTATAATATTCAATTTGTACCAAACTTTTTCATGAAATTTCGCGATTTGTTTACATTTCTTGAAAAGAATATAAAAGAAATCTTCAATAATACTATCAGAAAAATATATTTCCTCCTCAGATTCCACGATTAATTTTTACAGAAGATAAATATATAATACAATTTACACATTAAGATAACTGTAAAATATCGTCTGCTTTATTAATTTATTATAAAATTAGTTTGGCATTTTGTGTATTTATAAAATGATAGATATAATAATAAAAACGAGAACTACAATATATTTTTAGTAAAACATTATAATTTTGATCTAATATTAAATAAAAATATAGTAAGAAAAATTAAAGTTTAATATATTTTGGTTATCTCATATTTTTCAAGGGCCTCTTACTAATGTAAAAGCTGGAAACGTTTGCGGGAATTTGGGAAACATTCCCGGAATAAAATTTTGAAATTTTAAACAGCCAATTGTTTTTTTTAAATTTACTTCAAACTTTATACAATAAATGCGATCAGACTCGACTATGTGAGTAAAAATCGGGAATATGAGGTATTTTCTATGGAAAACCCTGACACTTCCGGCATTTCACTAAACTCGAAATTTTTTTAAATTAAAGGTTCAATAAATTTTTTTTTATTTTCATTAAAAACATTTTTTTATATAAAATTTTAATTTAATCTTTAATTTCACCCAAAGTCTACGTGACAGATAATTCACTGAAGGCTACCCCCTCCCTCCCTCTAAAACCAATATATATACCCTTTAATAATTTCCCGCTGCCTTTCAATCATTATTTACGAATTTTTAATTATAATCCATAAATTATATAAATAATATCCAAAATTTTAATTACTCTACTATAAAAACTAGCAAAAAATTATTATTTTATTGTGAAAAAATTATTTTTTAGAAGATAGATTAAATTAAAAAACTTCTACTCATTTATGATGAATGATTATATTGTATTGTTTGACATGAAATCAATTTAGTTGATAGGTCATCTACTTTTAAATAAAATATATAACAGAAAATTATCCAGAAATAAGTTTTTTTTGTAAAATTACTCAATGACTATATGATTGTAATGTTGTGATTTGAGCCAATTTATAAAAATGATTAACTCAATGTTTAATCTAGAAATATATTTTAAAAATTTTGTTCATAGATGCACAAAGTTTTGAACTTAATGAAATATAGAAGTTTAGGCAATTCTTGCTTAAAATAGTGTTAGCCGTTTAAAAATAGGCTCAAATCGAGAAATTTAACAATACAAAATCTCAAATCGAGCAATTTAACAATACAAAATGGTTGTATCTTATGCAATATATAAACTTGGTCGATTTTTAGCAATTATGTATATGCAATAAATATAAATAGATCTATTTAATAAATTTTGAAAAATGTAATTCGTTACTCCTCATTATAGCCTATCCTACTTAGATGTCTACCCCCTTATTTGCCTACACTCTATCCCCTTTAAGATAATTTGGAAGCAAACTCCTTCTCCTTCACCGCTCATGTATATACTGCTTACACCATTTGCAATATCATATATAATATGTATTTTAGGAATATTTTCTTTAAATTATTAAATATTAAGAATAGGAAGAAAGTTAAAAAAATCTAGGTTCATATAAAATCTATATTTAAATTTTCACAACTGGGTCATTTAGCTTTAGATATGTCCTGGCCATAAACAAGATAACGTCTTCTTTAAAATAGAGAATGGCTGGTACTTCTAATATTTTTAGTTTTTTTAATGCGCTGAACGAGTATTCTTCAGGTCGAAGTCTCAATGACGATATTTTGAAAGATAGATAAATTTGCTAAAATAAATTTTAAATCGCATTCTTAAAATATATGAATCTGATGATAAATTTTTGCGGTAAATATAAATTTTTAAAAAACTGTTGTTTCTGTTATTTATAAATAAATTTTATGTCATTTCCTTGACTCGAACCAGAAATTTTCACTGAACAGAAACCCTTTTGTTAGTACGAGGGTTATCGGCCCTAGCATAACCCCTTTATCTAAATTTTTGAAGTAGTTGTATCATTAAGTGTCTTTAAAAATATTTTTTATAAAATATTTTTCATTTTTGCTATTTGTATTTCCTTCAACTCATATGCTTAGAATTAGAACTCAGACTAAAAAATAATTTTCTTTAATAAGCACCAAATTTTTTGTTGATTTTATAAATAATTTTGTTTGTGAACTTAAAAAAAAGGTAATCGTATTTTGTTTTAAAAGTTTGTTTCTTTTATATGAGTGGTTCTTAGAATTATCAACCAAAAAATATTCATGCAAGACAAACCCCTGTTTGGAAGAAATAAAATAATTTTTTTTATCATTAATTAATTTCAATCTACAAATATTGTAGCCTTGGGTATAAGTAATTTATGAAATTTTTTTAGAATTTGAAGGGGGGGGGGGGGGGTTTATCTTATCAGTAATTAAATTTTTGTCACGGAATAGTTTTTCAGATGTTGTTAGTCATGCAGTCTTTGCATTGAACGATTTTATTATCAGTCTCACCCAAAAGACCTCATATCTTTACTAACGAGTTTTTTCACAACAGGATTAATCTATTGCTCTCAATCATATAGTAAAAACGAATGTATATTAAAATCACATCTTGTACAAACTTAATGTAATCATATCTTTATTCATTTTAATTTCGGCAAAAAATATATAAATTCTCATTTTTATCATAGTTTATGTTTAATAGATATTAAAAATTTGTTTGTTTCTGTTTCTGCCCAGCCTTTGGAATTAAGGTTTAGTTTCATTTATTCGTCTCTATTTCAAAAAATTTAAATTAGGTTATATATAATATGTAATTTATTTTTCAAGGTAATCTGGTGGCCTAAAATTAAATAAAAAAATTATAATAAAATAGTAAAATATTTACATATCCCATATTTTTGGAAAGTTTTCTATTTCATTTTGTGAATAATCTTGCAATCCTTTAGCTACTGGCATATATTGTTTCAGTTGACCTGCTATATTTTCCATAATTTTTGATGGCACATCTTTCTATATATTATTATAACATTATATAAAAAATTAAGAAAGTTAAATTCAAACAGTTTTAATTGAAAAATTGCAAATGAAGTGTAATAAGTTTCATTCCAGTTCTATTAAAATTATTAGAATGTATTAACGAAACCTATTCTAATTAAATAAGAAATGTTTCTCATTTAAAATAAATAGGGGAGACTGAGTTAAAGTGATTGACGTGGTAACAATATTTACGCAAATAATTTCTTAACCCTTGAACATAAAGACTATAAATTTGGTGTGAAGATGTATTTTTATAAAAATTTCTTACCTATGTTCATCTTTAAAAAAACTTTCGCTGATATAACCTACCAAAAAACCGTTTTTATCCAAAAATTATAAAAAATCAAACTTTAGTTATTTGCTTTTAGCAAAATATATTAAGGCTCAGAATTTTAAAATTTGAATACAAGTTCCATAATAGCTATAAAATAAAATTTATTGGAAGTTTATAGCTTAATAAGTCATGTAATAACAACATAATATACAATACATTGGGGTAGAGTTTTTATGAGTAAAATTATTTTGTGTGATTTAACATTAATAGTTTGTTTGTTATTTGGAATAAAATTTAATAAGTAGTCACAAGGAGAAAAAATAATTGTAATATATAATGTGCCTAAAATGGGCACATTCAAAATGTGCTATTTTTGATATAATTATTTAAATTCTGGTATTGTATCGATTAGTTTATACTAAAATTATAAATGTTAAATTTTAATTTAACAACTCTATCCTGAAAGTTAGCCACTTTACCCTGAGTATAGGGTACTATGGCAAAAATGGAACACTTCATGTAAAATTAATCACAAGTCCTAAATAATTTTGTCAATGAGGGATATGACAACATATAAACAAATAATTTGTTCTGTTTTGCGAAAGGTTAAAAAATATTATGGTAAAATGCAAAATACCAATAGTTAATCATTTCACTCTGGCTTCCCTTAATTATACCTCTATAAACATGAGATACATTAAAGATAAAATGAATATAAATTATTATAAAATGGGAGATATGCAATACACACCCAGTTAAGTTTAGCTCATGGTTTCTAGTAATTAAATCAGATGCATTAAACTAATATTCATTGGTATTAGTGAGTAATGCCCAATACTCCCAATTTTAATCAATATAAATTTTAAGATTACATTAGATATTTGCAAATGCTGGTCCAGGCTGTGCCCAAGTCCAAAAGAAAATTTTTGATCAGACTGGACAGTACAATTTTTTGTAAAATTTCTAGCAGGTTAGGAAAATTAGGCCTGATGCTGATCACTAACATATTAAACCACAAGCGATAAAATAATGATTTATAAATTTCCAGGACAATAAAAGAAAAATGAGAATATTAATGAAATATATTTTTCATTTTTTTTTATTACTAGATGTAATTTTTTTGGTAATAATTTAAAAAGTGTTTTTGGTACATCTCTAATTTAATTACTAATTTTTTCTAGTTAGTGAATGATATATTTGTTTTGTTAAAATGTGTAGGGTTTAGAATTCTAAATTTTTATAAAATCCTATATAATGTTCTCCAATTATTTGTGCAACTGCTATATGTATTTAAAAGAGAATTACTTAAATAACATTAAGTATAAATCAAATAAATTAAATGAACAATAAAATTAAGATTAAGCAAGTTGCAGTAATACAAATATATTGTAAAATAAAAAATTTATGTAATTACAAGTTCTGGGTATAAATGTAATCTTGTCATGTTAGATCTTCTATGAATATTTTTTGACATTGAAGCATATATCACTTTCCTAACAATCTATTATGAATAATTTAATATTTAAAATTGGAATATACCTCTGTTGAATCTTTTTCATGTAGCATCCAAGCTGGAGTAAAACTCATGCCTTTAGGATAGCTAAATTACTATTTTCATATATAAGTATTTAAAAATAAAACCCCGTGTGATGATAATAATAACGTTCTCTCCAACCTTCTCCTCTAAAAGCAAGCCATTTAGTATTATAAATGACTACATGATCTCCTACATCGGCTATATTAAATATTGTTTAAAATATTTTAATATGATTTACAATTTTTAAAGTATAAAGGTTTGTGCTTTCCTTCTAATACTGGTTTAACTCTCCTTACAATGGCCATTGGGGTTTGATGAGAAGCATCGTACAACCACCAAAATTTTGAAAAAACAAGCCATTGCTATATGGAAATAAATATATGTTATTAACCATAAAAATACTTCAACTCTTCTATAATCATTTGGAAATCGCAATGCCATTTACCTAACCTCAAAAGGTTAATTCCTTTATCTTTTTAAATTTGAACAAGGGCTGAACCCGAACAATCCGAACACTTTTAACCCTAAATACACGTTTTTTTAAATCTCTGCAATTTACGTATAATTTAAATTAATAATATAAAATTGAAAAGGGAATGAAATACCTAGCTAGGAGAAAATTTTATTTTATCGAAAATTATTAATCTATATAAAATTGTATTAATAAAAATCGGGAGAAAGAGTAAATTTATTTTAAAAAAATTAGGGGAAAGTATAAAAAATCGGAAGAAAGCATAAACTAATAGATGGCGTATTTTGTCTTAGTCAAATATAGAAAGTCGGAAAGTTTACGACAAAGTCGGAAAGTTTACGACAAAGTCGGAAAGTCTGGTAACCCTGGTTATTAGAAGTAGTGTATTGCTTAAAAACGTTACGGGGTAGGGGGGAGGGATGTGCTATTATTTTTAAAATATATTATCAAAAAAGATATATCTTCTGTATTCTATATTAAATCAACCAAGAACCTCGATTCTTAACCTGACTCCCTTCGATTTTTTTAAAATTTTGTATGTTAGTTGTAGCACTCACTAATAAAAATGTCAAATCTTACTTTTCAGATCGGTTTACTTTTTGATATATACCCATCTTTAAAAACAACAAAATTTGAAAATACACTTTATTTAATTTTAAACATGTCAAAAAATAATTAAGCTAAAAACATGATTTAAATTTTATTAAATATCTTTAAAATTTATGTGGAAATTTATTTTATTGAAAATAAGTCTATTATTAAAAACCGGAAATAAAAATCGGAAATAGCTATAAAAAAAATTATCTTTATCTTTCAAATTTATTTTACAAGAAAGTTTACTACCTAATATTTGTACAGGATTGTAGACTGGGAAAAATAATGGGCTAGGGATAACTTTTAAAATATGTTGTATAGTTTAAATCCCATATCATGACAAATATATAGTCATTTCTTTTTTAAAAGTGATCAATATGCAAAAAGCTATCTTAAAACCCCGATTATTTTTCATTTTTTTGAATATTAAAAAAGGCAAAAAAATGTTCACCAAATTGTACTATATCTATATAAAAATGCAAAACGCCTTAATCTGGAAGCCATAATATAAGGTATAATAAATAATAAGGATTTTGTGAAGAGTAATAAAGTAACAACTATCATAATAAAAACCCATTAACTCCTTCACCCCACCTAAAGATGGACCTTCGCTCCGCAAAAAATTTTTGAATTAAAATTTTTTGACCTGGAAACTTTGTGATTGAACGATGTATTTTTTTTGCCAGTTAAAATATTTGTAATAGTGAAAAATATAGTTTCATTTTAAATATTATTTAGATTACGGTTTATTATAATAAATATATCTTATATTTGTCAAAATAATCTCTCAGAGTTTAATCTTTTTAAAATAAAAAAACAAATTAATTATTTATATAAAGTCATATTAAAAATCAGTTCCAAGAGTCGTCATTGTTATTAATATATTTTACATCACCATTACGAAATCAAATTACGTATTCAAAACCAATTTATTTATTAATTTTAACAACTTTAATAATTTTATAAAATTAATAAACATCTTTTATATCTAGCAAAATAATTTAAATATCAACAAAAAACTTATTTAAATTCCAGTAATGTGCTGAAATCCTTTTTGGTTAAAATCACAATTATTGTTATGATCTTAGACAAGAGGGGAAATTAGGTTAGCTGCTAGAGCAAGCCTGCAACATCCTTATGATAATCATATACTAATACCTATGGATGTATTTATGTAATTTGAGAGAAGTAATATCATTGGGATTTGTTATATATTTGTGTAATGTATTAATATAAATTGATTTTCTTAATTGTCAACAATGTTGAATATCTAAGCATGGAAACCAATTTCGAAATTAGATTAACAGTCAAACGAATTCCTGTAATAAAAATTTCATGCATTTATTTTCATGAAGGAAAAAATGAAAGTCAAATTATTTGTCACTATTCTTATTCGTTAAATAGTTTAATTAAATTTTGGGTAAGGTAACATTTTAAGATAACTAATCCTTGTGAAAAAACTAATATTATTGATCAGAGCTTAAGGCAGATGCAGGAGTCTATAAATCCAACAAAGCCGATTATTGTATAAATATGTTAAATAAATCCGACACTTTTATTATATGTATATAATAAATTTAAGTGATTTTTAAAAATAATTGATATAACATCTAAAGAAGTTCTTGTCTAAACTAATAGATGATAAAAAAAATTCGGAAATAAAAATATAAGATAACTGGTAAGGTCCATGGATTTTCTTTATTATGATATTATTATTTTATGCTATATTTATACAACAGATGAATGGATATTTTACCGAATAAAGGGTTAATGATTTGAAAATCAAGCTTGATTAAATAATAGAATCAATACATTCTAAACAACCGTATTGTTTATATTATAATGATTTTAAAAATTTAATTAGTTGCAATTACTATTAATTATATAATAATGTTATATTATATTTATTTAATGATTTTATTTAATATTGTTATTCCTACAACTAATGCATGCGGTGAAACAAAATGTAAGTTATAAACCTTTTTTTTACAAATTAATAATGATTATTATTAATGAGGATATATTCTAGCATAATATAATATCAGCATTTCTGTATGTCACGCACTTAATTATCTAAGGAAAATGAGGAAATGTTCCAAATTTATTTGATTAAGGGAATCCTAAAAGAGATAAAAGCGCCCTAAATATTTTTTAACTTCTGAAGATTTTACTTAACTTTTTAAAGCTCAACTATTTAAAATAAAACTAAAAAAATTTTTTTATAGAAAAACTTCATTTATATACACCAAAGAACTAAAAATTTTATTTCGACTTTTATTTCATAATACATAGATTTATATAAAACTATTTCACAATTTTAAAATAATACATTGAACGTTAAAAGTAAAACATATATACGTAATTTAAAAATATATATTAAAAATATCATGTAAACTATTTGTAAATTAAAATCTATATAAAAACTGTATAATAAAAAAAATAATTAGTATAGTAAATTGTATGTTGGGTGGGAGGAGGTCAAGAAAGAGAGCCGTGGATGGCAATGCAGTTAGATCTGCATATATCAATAGAAATGCGCTATCTGAGATAGAACCCTTCCTGTGGGTCACCAGTGATGGCGCGGATTTTTTTTACCAAGGGATTTGAAGAAGTTAGGGCATGATTGCCAAAAAAACCGATTGTGTCGGATACGATTGGTATGAGATTGCAATTGGTTAGGGAAGTGTATTTATTAATTTTAGAGTTTTCAGCTCGCACGAATGAGTTGTTATTAAAGGAGGGAGCAAATCGGTCGATACAAGTATAATCCCATGCTAATGGAGTTCCATTACTCCATGGTATTAATGTCAAAAAAATTAATGATACAATTTGACATCAATGAGCTCAATGCTTGTATAAAAAAATATATTTATTTATCATTAAATATTTTAAAACAATTTCTATTCTGTTTCTAGCATAAATAAATTTCACATTTTTCACACTTCAACCTTAAATATGTGCTAACATGTAGTAAATACTTTTTTTCGAGTGTTGGGAGCTTCTGACCAATGCCCTATATTTTCATATCTAACGTCTGATATTATCTGAGGCAACATAGAACCTTTTTTTCTCTTACTAATTTTACCTGCCATTAATGAAGCAGTAACTACTTGAGATATAAATATTATAAGTTTTATAAAAGATTTTTCATTTTTTTGAAGTAAATGTCTTCGATACAATAATCATCATTCACAATGCAGATATCTATCAAATAAAATATTACTCGAGATAGAACCTTCTATCTTTGATATCTACTAGCATTCTACTAGCATATCGTTTAAATCTACCCTTTAAATTTAAGGCCTATGGATCTGAAAAAATTTTTCTCCGCCAAGAACCACCGCCTCACATCTTCTATTGGGTCGATACCATTGAAGGATTTAACATGAAAAAATTTAACCATTTGACAATTATTATATCAGTATTAGTATCAGTTTTATAATCGAAACTATCTCTCCTTTTTCTTGAGATCGCGGCTTTTCAAATTGAAACTTTTAGGCCATTGGATTGTATGGTACCAATTATATATATATATACCTATTCTCAAAATTAGGCAAATTTGATTAGACGAAGAACTCAACTTATTCCTAATCCTGTTTGTGTTTTTATAGTTAGATTTCCTATATACACTTTAAAATCATAAATAATTCCGGTGGATCCTGCAATAGCAAATATTTTTATACCCCATTAATGGAGATTTGATTTTATATATTGATTCAATGTATTCTTACCCTTAAATGATATCAAAAATTCGTCAACACAAATATTATCCTCCATTTCAATTTTTTTCATATTGGCCTGAATAGCGGATATAAACGGTCTTACTTTAAAGCATTTATCATGCCCTTCTACATAACATGGAATTACTATTGTATTATCATTGAGATGCAAATATTATCGTGATTGTTCGAAACGGTATCAGTTACCTGTGGAAATTTGAATTCCTGAGACCAATATTAGCGATATGATGGAACCCTTACCAGTGGATAAAATAAATAAATACCTATTGTTCAATCTCATTTTTATCGGTTTTCAAAGATTGTTTTGAACGCGAAATAAATTTGATTGCTCAAACATTATTATCTAATATATCAGAATCCGATATGATATTGGAATGTTATTTTGGGGATTAGAAAATTTTTTTTAGAAAATGTTGTATCAAATGATTCAAAATTTTTTAATAATCATGAATATTATCAAGTTCTATGTGGAGTGAATTTGTGGGCGAATCTATATTTGAAATTATCATTAGGATGATTTATCCTCACTATCATCAATATCTGTTTCCGAAATATCACCTTCAATTATAATTACTTTATTTGACACCTATAAAAATAAAATATATAAATTCAATGTTAATAAAATAATTTATAAAATTCCCAGTTAATTAATTTTGGATTATAATTTTAAAATTATATTTACAAAAATAATTAAAATTTTTAAAAAATATAGATTCATGATGACATCTATAATATTTTGTCTTCTTTATAAAATAAACAGTTCAGAATTTTTCAAATTAAAATATATATAAATAATATGTAAAATCAGGGTTTCGAACCGTTTAGTATAACGGTTCGGTTCGTTCCGGTTTTTAGTTTAAAATTTTATAAAGGTTTTGTTCCATTTCGGTTTTTTAAAAAAAAATCATATCGGTTCGGTTCGGTTTATAATTTATAACGGTTCTTTTCGGTTTGTTCCGGTTTTTATAAATTTAATTTTAAAAAAAATTAATCATTAACCATGTATATATTAATTTTAGAGAAAAATCTTTTTAGTTTATAATTTCTTATTTAATTTATCCATGATAATCTAATAGATATTTTTATTAAATTTAGGAAATATAAATTAGACAAATTAGTTTTTTTTTATTTTATAAATAAATAAGATAAAAACAAACATGCGTAAATACAATAATGAATAAAATAATATGTATACTATACTATTTAGGTTTAAAAAGAGAATTCGAACGGATAACTAAAATATTTTCTAATATTTCAGGATTTAATTTAGTTCTCTGGGCAAAGAGTATAAACTTAAGGCTTGAAAATGCTCTTTCTACGGAGACCTGCGTAGCTGGAACTGCTAGCACAGTTATAGCTAACTTATAAAGTTCTGGCATACTATTCTTTACATTTTCCCAATAATTCAATTTTCTAATCTCTCTATATTATCAAATGACCGAATTATATATTCTATTTCTATACATTTATTATAATTTTCGATGCCCTGAGAATTATTCTTATTAAGACTTTCATGCGACTTAAATAAATCTTCAAAATCATCATCTAAATTATCCTTCGAATACGAACACGTAGGCATAGTATTTAGAATTTCAATATTCTGATTATTTAGATTTTGTATCAAGTTCCAAGTTTTACAAAGATGTTTTCTGGCGATCTCTCTTTCTTCAAAAGTTAAAAATACATTATATCTAGGGTCGAGATAAATAGCAGAGCAAAAAACTTCATTTTTGAAATTTATTTCTCGTGCTTTCATCGTAGAAACTAAAATTCTGGCAAATGGAGTGTCTACTTTACTCGTTTGCATGAGACATTTGATCCACGCAGCATAAAAATCGCCCATTGTCAATTGTTCACTTTGTAAATATTTTGTCAAAACATAAGCTGGATATAAAGCTTTTAATATGTCACTAATTATTTTCCATTCATTCTCTGATAAACATTTTCGATATTTCTTGGCAAAAGCTTTTTAACTCTAGTAATCTTTCCAACATTAAATAGATAGAGTTCCATCTTGTGCAACAATCTATTAGTGATTTTTTCAAATTTAATTTTGAGATAATAGCCATTGTTGTCTGATTTCTTATTTTTTTGCAGATGTTTCTTGCTTTATTTATAATGACAATTTCATTTGAATTTTTAATGCAATCATTAATTGCTAATTGAAATGTATGTGAAGCACATCTAATACCTATTAATATGGATCTGGCATTTGGTGCAAGATTAATATTTTCAATATTAAAAAGTTCTTTATTTTCATCATGAATTATATCATTTTTATTTAAATCGTCATTGTCTATATCATTATTATTTAAATCATCATTAATTAAATAATCGTTAAGGTCATCATCTTCATCATCTTCTTCATCGTGTAGTATTAATAGCTTAATTAACTTAATCATATTTGCTGCATTATCGGTGGTTATTGTGTAAAACTGCTCAATTTTTATTTCATATACTTTTAGAACATCTAGAATAATTTTTTTAAGATATTCTGATGTGTGTCGTTCTTTAATCACTTTCATGCATAGAGTCCTTAATTTTATTTTTCCGTTATTTATAAATTGAATATTGATCCCCAATATGGACCTATCATATCTAGTTGCTATATCTAATTTTAACGAATTAAGTTTTTGATATACTTCAGGAAAATTAAAATTTTAAATTTAGGTTAATAATTTAAAACTAATTATTTTTAAAACCATTTTGAACCGGTTTAAACCGGTTCAAAATATTTATAGCGGTTCGGTTCGCTCTTTTAATATTCTTCATAACGGTTCGGTTAAGGTTACGGTTCAGAAAATCATAGCGGTTTATTCCGGTTTTGCGGTTCGGTTCGGTTCGAACCCCTGTGTAAAATCAAGTAATTTAATAAAAATCGAAAGGAAATATAGTCAAAAGTTACGTGTTAATAAAATAAAAACAAATGCTATTTTTTTTTGATTATTAATAAAATTGAATTGAATATACATTATATATTCATTTTAAAATGCAAAATTAAATCAATGAATGGTTTTAAACGTTAAAATGTTACATGTAATATGATTATGTCAAATTAACTCTCAGAACTTTAATGGAAGTGAAAATATTTATAATCATATAAAAGCTATTGACTATACAAAAAGCTATCGCTTTTAGTCATTAGTTTTCGAGGTGTATAGAGCCCAATAAATTAAATATGTTGACCGGAGCCCTGGCTGCAGAGCCGTTTCTTATGGCTTACCTTAGTTTAGGACTAAGGGCACACAAAAAAGCAATAAATTAAATATGTTGACCGGAGCCCTGGCTGCAGAGCCGTTTCTTATGGCTTACCTTAGTTTAGGACTAAGGGCACACAAAAAAGGTTTAATATAAAAAAGGGTGGCAATATCGATGATTAATTTGAAAAAATAATTAGATCAATTATATGGAATGGAGAATAGAATGACACTTTCTAAGTTCTAAAGACACATCATTTATTCGCGTTTTCTATAAAGGTTATAGTAACAAGAATTCCATTAAAAAATATATTTTTTTGACAAACCATTTTATTATTAAATGGTTTTCTATTTTATTTAATAACTAGAGCAGGGTGGTATTACCAAATAAGGGACTCCGACCTCAATGTGAGTATTAGAAACATGCTCATTGGCCTGATTTGAGCTTTAATTATTATGGATTAATAGTTTTGTTTTCATCAAAAATAGGTATAGGGGATAAGGCTTGGCAGGTGAGTGAGGATTGGTGTTATAATTTTTCCCGGACAATCTTATAAATGAGAACATTATAAGAAACATCATATTACAACAAAAAAATGGGAGGGAAATTTATTTTAAAAATTTTATTACACAACTTCCCCCCCCCCCCAACCAGAACACAATATCTGTCCTCTTGATAGATTAACCAAATATATTTCAGATAAACGTATATATTTAATTGTAGATGATATTGCAATAATTGTGATTTGTTGAAGGCTGCAAACTATTATCAAATCATAGCAAATATTATGATCTTATGTATAAAATTGCATTGATAGAGAATATAGATTCTGTTTTTTATTAAGAATTGCAAAGCTATAGGCTAAATTGTCTATGGAGACGTTATTAATCTTGAATGATTTTTCGAAAAAACGATGGCAAAAAAAAGTTCTGCAATCAGGCTCCCGAAGGCTTAAAGACGATTCCAAAATATATAGCGCCAAAATTAAACAAAATAAGATACTGAGCAAGTGGTAAAAATACATCTTTTCCAGATAAATTCTTTCATCTGAAAATAAACTTATGAGAAAAATATATTGAAAACATAAATTTTGGCAAAAAAATAATAAATACTAATCTGTAACTAATGTAGGCAGAGATGATGTCCCACCATTTAAGTCAAACCATATTATGATGGATGTTATTATAGTATAATATAACTAATTCAAAAAGAAAGATAAAGGCTCCAGTAAAGTGTGTGATTGAAAGTTTTGAAAGGTTGAAGGATATTTTGATATGTCTAGAATAAATATTATATTTGTTATTTTTTATATATAACTAAAATCAGGTAGTATTAATCCCCAATCTCAACCCCTACCCAAGCCACATTCATGTAAGATATGTTTTTATTTAAAATTCTAAAAAAAACAAAAATTATATATAAATATATTCACAATAAAATTTTTTTTTGAAAAAATTGTTATTTTCAATATGGAAATAAAATTTAACCAGGTCGTCATGGTGATATCAACTGCATTTCTGAACCTGTAAAAAAACGGCCACCAGGTGAATCAAACGTTTTGAAATTAATTCTTATTACTATCATATATAATTATTCAAATTTAGAAAATTATAAAATAATAATGTTGATGAAAATTGCTATTTACATTTATACTCTTCATTATATAAATACAATATCTTTTAAGTTATAGGGCAACCAAAAGTTATAATTGTCAGACCTATGCCTATATCTCCTTCATGTGAGTATTTATTTTTTTGTTCTTTTTTTGTAAAAAAATCTGTTATACATTATCAAACAATGGTAGTCTTTTTTTTGTGAAAAAAATATCATTTTCGTGGCATGTAAACTTAAACAAGGTGAACGTGGTAGCAACTGCAATTCTAAAGTCAAGCCTATACAGCCTTCAAGTGAGTCATGTGTTTCTAATTCATTCCTACGATCATAACTCAAACTTTAAAACAATAATATTTGTGAAATTACGATTTTTATTTTTGCATATAAAAACCAGATGGTGTCAACCGAATCAGGCTTACTCCACTGTCACCTTCATGTAAGCTATAAATTTTTAATTCGATAAAATTATAAATTTTAATTGTTTATGACAGGTACTGGTATCAACTGCAAACCCAAGCCCAAGCCTAAAAGGCCTCATGGTAAAGCAGGTGCTTTAAATTATATTCGTATTATTCAGGCTTAAAATATAAATTATTAACACGAAAAATTGCTATTTTCATTTATTCTCCACAATAATAAATCAAATATCTTTAAAGTTATTTATACCTCAACCAAAAGTTATAATTCCCTAACCCAGGTATTTAAAATTAAAAAATTTGAATATAAAAATATTAGTGAAAAATTGATAATTTCATTTATTTGCATATAAATTAAACCAGGTGGTATCAATCGAATCGGAAAACGTAAACGCAAACATAAGCTAAGGCCTCCTTCATGTGAGACATGTGTTTATTATTCTAGATTTTGATGATAAATATTTATTTTCCTTTATTTGTATATAACACAGGTAGTCAGAATGGTTTGAACTGTATTTCAAAACCCAGGCCCAAACCGCATTCAGGTGCATCATCTGTTTCTAATTTAATCTATCATATTATTTAAACCGGAAAATTTATAATATAATAACATAAATTTATTTGAATATAAAATTATACCAGGTGATATCAATCGAATTCCCAAGCGCCCTATGCCTAAGCCTCCTTCATGTGAGCCATGTGTTTATTATTCTAAATTATAATGATAAATTGTTATTTTCCTTTATTTGCATATAACTTAAACAGGTGGTCATAATGGTTTAGACTGCATTTCCCTACCCAAACCCAAGAATATATCGCCTCTAGGTGTGCTATATATTTTAATTCAGTTCTACTAACATATTATTTAAATTTAAAAAATAAAAAAAATTGACATTTTCATTTACTCTCTTATATAAAAAATTAGATATCTTAATAGGTATCCGTCAACCAGAAGCCCCCAGACCTCCTTTATCACCTTCGTGTAAGTCCTTTAAAAAAAATTTAAAATTATACATTGATTAAGATAGTATCCTAATTTATTTTACATAAAAGGGGTATTTTTAATTGCAATGATATTTAGGTCAGAAAATTTTGATAGACCTCTGCAACACTAGCAAATAATAAATAAGATAAGAGCTTCTGAGATGCGAGACTAACCATTACCAATCGCAAAACGCGCACAATATATTAAATCGTTTTAAGAATTAGTTGGTTAAATGTATCATAATAGGAAATTTACGAGTTTATCAAAGATCATCATGCTAGTTATGCCCAATATATAACCTGTTTTCTTAAACTTTAAAAATCCAAGTATCTTTAAAAAAATGTATATATTTTAAGTAAGCTACATTTTTATTATAGTATTTCTCCAAATATTTGTTAATATTTAAGAGTTTTAAGAGGGTTTTAGCAAAATCCCGTTCTTCTCTATGTGTAGTATTTGGAGAAAAGCTAAAGCGCCCATGGAATTTGTATTATCTGAATTTTATAGACCGTTTTGTTAACTTTTGAATTTGAATTAATGTTTAATAGATTTTTCATATATTTAGTGCACCATTCAAAAACATGGTGTCATTTTTTTCAAAATGAAAGTAATTTTTTTTTGCAAAAAAACAAATATTGATTTTTAATCACCAGAATATTCAATTTATATTTAGAAAATGTTAAAGTTAAAAAAATTTTAAGTTATTTTGATTTTTAAAATTTATTTTAGTAATTTAGAGTTTTTTTTGCTTTGAAAAGGATTTTTCATTTTTTTTGTTGATATAATTTATAATGCCGTGAATGAATAATTTTTATCAATCACCATTTAAATTTTTGGCCATATCGGTTAGTCAATCCGGTCCTAATAGACTAGCCCCTGAACCGGACCGGTAGTTGGACCACTTTTATACCATAAACCTGGTCTGTCTTTAATCCTAGTCGGCCATTCGTAGTAGTCTCAATTCCTGATTGAAATATTTTAATTGACTTAATTAATTAGCATATATTGACTGCAATAGCGTTTTTCTTTTCCAGGAGAATTTTTATTGATTCATTTCTCCTGTCAAATTTAAAAATTTATCAAGAAAAACACTATATTAAGTTCTAAACAAGATAATATATGCCTTGTTAACAAATATTTTTTAAAGAAGGGGTTTCACATAAAAAAGGCTTTTTATTAAGGCGATGCGAGCCATCATACGCATGAGCTGAACTGGCTAATAAAAAGAAACAATATGCTCACCTCCATTAATTCCCAAGCACCTCTACGAACAAGGATATTAGTATTTATATATGAAATATTTATTTTTTTATTTTTTTATTTATTTATGAAATATGATATTTTAATTAAAATGAAATTATACGCTATTTTTTTTAGAAAACGAAAAGAAATCTTTTACCAGTTTATAACGGTATCAGACTGGATTTTACAGATCTTGGGTTCCGATTGGTCTGTAAACATTAATTAGTTTTGGCCGCCACCTTTACTAATTAAATTCTGAAATCATAAAAATAAAAAGTCCAAAAATATAATTCTAGGATTAAAAATTTAACATTAGATTTTATTAAATCTTTAGAATTCTGAAAGTTTTTAAAAAATTTCTACATTTATTCAACAAAAATGAAAATCAATCAAATTAAACAGCTTCTATGAATTATAGTATATCGAAGGGTAAATAAAAATACTTGCCAATATTTAGATTGATATTTTTTCTCCATGTAATTCTTTAAAAATAGTTATAAATTATTGCGCACAAACACATTATTATATTATGATAGTATAATAGGTGGCTCATATGTAGCAAAATTTATCTAGCAACGGTTACTGATACCCATCAGATCATATTCTAAACAACAATCAAATTGTGTCAAAATGTTATAAAGAACCCACTTTTTAATATATATCAACGGAATCACGTAGTCGAGTCCAATCTACTATAAATATAATTCCCCAAAGGTACGCGAACAACCAAGTCGGCTTCAGAAGAAAACCATGATCCTTGCCGGAGTCGAATCTAGGTTTAGCGTATTCGTGATCAACTCACTTACCAATTAGAACACAGATGATTTAAGGAAGCATCAATTTTTTTTCATATACAGCCCAAAATCAAAAAATTTTATTTCTAAACCTAGTTATTATTTTTATATTGTTTGATATAAAATAATTGGTAACTATCCAAAAATTTAAAAAAAGTCATGTGGAGTCCTCCAATTCTGTCAGGTTAATATTCCCAGCCCGGAACTAAACCATCTTATCCAGGAAAAGTTTATTGACTTTAAATTCGATTCTGAAATCATTTTATTTTTCAAACTTATTAAATAAATTAAAAATAAATTATTAGTATAATAATATTTTAATTTATTTTTTGTTTTAATAAACAATACAAGTTCAAAATCTCAAACCTCGAACTAATCCACCTTATTCAAGTAAGAGTCAATTTTTGATGTTTTTAATTTGAAATCATAATATTTTTCACTATAAAAATTTTATTTTTAATAAAATAAATCATATCCTAAACTATGGAGTCAAAATTCTTCGACACAAAACTAACCAGCCTTATCCAGGTGAGAATTCATTTTAATATTTTATCAACCCTGAAATCAAGTCAAGGATAGAAATGTCCTAGACATAAAAACCTACGTATAAATAGAAACTGGACAATAATATCCCAATTTTTAAGAAAATTTCAAAGGCTTAAAAAAGGCGATTATTTTTTTTTAAAAGAAATGACTTCTTTCTTCATTTAAACATTAAACAAATTTCTAAAATTAGGGTATAGTGTCTCTTTGTCTTAGGTACTTTTGTCCGGATCTTTTTGCCTTAGGAAATATATGTCTCTGATTCATTTTTATATATTATTTTTTTATGTAATAAGATATCTCCAAACCTAAACAACCAAAAGGCAAAATTCTAGGACCACAAAATAGACAGCATAATAAAGGTGAGTGAGACATTTCCATATTTTTAATTTAATTCTTTAAATTATATTATCAAACATCCGGATTTGAATTTAACTAGTTTTTTTTTTAAATTTATACTCCGGCACTGATTAGATTTTATGGTGACAAAAAGTTGGCCCAATCCTGCTTGATGATTATTAAATTATATAACTAAAATTTATTCTTAAATAAATTGACCCGAAAAAAATTATTTCCGAAATGCGCTTGAATTTTTTTTTTCCTTTTAGTCAGGTCTAAATTTTTAAAATTGTACTATAATAACGAGCTCTGGTTAACCCTAGTGCACGGTTCGATTTGAGCCGTTTTTTGAAAACAGGTAACTCAATATTTTAGCCAAAAAAATATTTATTGCCCTAACTAAGCCTCGAGATTTTGCGAATAGATGCCAAAACCTTTGTGCCGGACAGAATCTTCTAATATTTCTCTGGATAATATTGAGTTGGCCGTTTTTAAAAATAGGTTCAAATTGAGCCGTTTAACCCTAATTAGGCCTGTAGGTATATTTGAAAATTATAATATAACATTGATAAAAAAATATGAATTGCATTCACATATTTTATTGATATTGGTTTATAAAAAATTTCTAAAACCTAAAATTAAAAGGTAGCAATTCTCAGTCCCGCAACTAGACAATCTAATTATTATGCATTTTTAATTCATCTGGTATTAAGTTTATTAAAAATTCAGAATCAGATGATGAAATAACAACATCCATGCTTACGCTAATCGTTAAGATATAAATAATAATATTCAAATTAATAAACTAAGGACAGAAATAGTAACTGGTTAAAAAAATTAAAATGTGATAGAGTAAACAGCTGATTTTCTTAAAAAATTTTAATTAATTTTTTTTTTTTAACAAACAAACGTAAACTCGTTCGTTATAAAAAAGAAACGCGTTCACATTTAAGTTCGTCAAAAATAAAAGAACGCGAACGCCGTCTAATTTTTTCAAGAAAAACGAACATCTTTCTTGAACGTGTTCGTTTACAACATTACATTTTAATGAAGTATACGTGTCATAATTTATGCGAATATAATGAGTCATCCTGATTGTAAATCTTCCAAATAATTCTACGATTAAGGGGCCATTTTTGATATTTCACTTGGCAATGCATTCCAACAATCTACCATGTAAATATCCGAAGAATTTGTCATAAATTTCAAAATTTATATGAAAAATATGATGTAATATGTAAATTCATATAAATTAAAAATAGCTTCAAAAGATAAAATTATCCGAAATTCTTAGGGTAAATGCTCTACACATGTTGGATAGAATTCACTTCCGGTAGAGTTAGTTTTTTTTAAATTTAAATTTCGCTCTAGTAAATGAATGTAAAAATAAAAAGTTTCTAATCCTTAGGTAAGAATTTTTTCGGGTAAAGTCATTGTACCTGGATAGTTTATCGATATATTATTATCAATTTCGTTATATTGATAGTTGTTTCACTTCGGACAGACCCTTCATATACTATTAAAAAAAACTACTCCATTTGTATCTGAATCAATATAATCGAGAAGATAGCTAAACTAAATTTTTGAGAATAATAGAAAGATAGGGAATAGGGTTAATATTAGTATTGTTAAAAGGATCGATTCAATTTTTAAAAATGTTCCTATAAAAATTTTAGCCACAATAATATTGGTTAAGCCTCGAGATTCTGCAAATAGCGCCCAAAAAATCTCCAGGCTTACATAATAGTATTTTGGCTAAAATCTTAATCAGGCCGTTTTAATAAATCGACTCAAATCGGGCATTTTAGCAATACTAGTTAATGCATAATATTAAAATATGTTTAACAAAATTTACGATTTAATAATCCTAACTATAATTTTATATTTTTAAAAAAAAACTGAATTTGGTATATCTACTGTATAAGACACATATTAACTAGAAATTGGGGATTCTGAAAATATAGATATATATAATTTTATACTGCTATAAAATTCTCAATTGCTCAAAAAAATATAATAAATTTATAAGTATTAATAAAAATATTTTTACCCCAGTCATCCAAACCTTACCGAAAGAGTTAATTACAATTCATTATTTTTGATATAATAAATAACACTTAACTAAACTCTTGCCTCTACCATATCTCATTATAGGTGAATCATTTTTGTGTTTTTAATTAAATTGTAGGAAATCATATTTTTCCAAAGAAAATAATAAAATACAAATATTTTCAAATACTGTTATAAATAAATATTAATAATTTTCTTTTCATTTTTTTTTCCATAATAACAAGGTGATATGAATGGGAAATGCAAACCTAGACCCTCCAAACCCAGAATCCCCAACTCCAAACCGTTTATTCCTCCAGGTGAGTTATTCTTCACATATCAATTAAAATCTAAAATAATTTTTTTGTTATCTTTACCCGTAAGATGGCACAAGTAACGGAAAGTTGGTGCCAAAACCAATACCAGAAGTAAATAATCCACCAGATTGCTCTTCAGAAAATATAGATTCAGAAATTGATAATAGCGTTGGTAATGCAAATGGCCATATTAATTATCTAAAATAAGACCTATTTAAATTAGCTTCACATTTTTAAAAAATATATTTGTAAAAATTATAAATAAATTAAATGTATATTGATAGGGAATTTTTTTTTAGTATTTACATCTATTTTATTAAATTGAATCACAGATACTGTAAATATTGACAAATCAGAAGATAGTTCTGTTGACAAAATCTCCGCACCAGAACCGAACCTTCCATTGGACTCAATCAAATCTCCAAATTCACATGTCGATTCCAGCACTGAAGATGAGAATGGTTAAAATTTCTCGAAATATGACCTTACCTATTTAACTAATACTATCTAATCAACTTTATATTATTTTTTAATTATTAAGAAAAAATATATTATTTATTTTTACCTTCGGGAATTTATATAATTATTAGTTAAATTTTTAGGCAATTTTTAATATAAATTTTATTGATCGTTCCAACAGAAGCAGAAACCTGCGCTCCAATTTGTAATCCTCGTTCGCACAAGCGGCACAAGAATCTTTAATACTTATCACTATTACATTATTGCAAGTATATATATATATAAGAACTTTTAAATATGTTAGCGTCAAAGTATTTTTTCCGGCAATGTGTTATTTTTTTCCGACATTAAATAATTTTTTGAGCGCGAATTTTTTGGATTTAAAAATATGATTATACGGGAAATGTGTTCCCTCATGTTTGAATACCTGCCCTATGAATTTCAGATAATTTTGTCAAGAATTTTTGAGCTTAATTTAATTTATATTATTTTTTCCATTAATTTTTCTTAAAAATTATTAATGACTCAAAAGCTATGGTTAAAATAATTTATGATTCATACGATAGGTATTCTAAACATGCTGGAATATATTATCGGTAAAATCAAAATTATATTAAAAAGTTGAAAAAAATAACGCATTGCCGGAAAAAACACTTTGACGCTCCGCTTCTGGATCCTCCAGGGATTTGGATTAGAAATCTGCAGGCTTCGGGCCCTGTCTATTTTTAAAAAATAATTTCGGTTCTGACTTGTTCAGGGCCTAATATTTTTTAAAAAATTTCCGGCCGGGTCGGGCTTAAATTTTAAATATGATATCATTACACTTTGTCAAATAAATTGATACATTTTAAAATTCTTGCAAGAAACTAGGCTTAATATTTTTTTTATTTGTAGAATATTTTTCTACAATAGATAAATATTAAATTTTTTGATATTTAAATTAGGGCCGGGCAGACAAAAAAATTTTATTTTTATTTCGGGTCGGGCTTTTCGGGACAAATAAAAAAATTTCTTTCGGAATAGGGCTGGACAAATTTTTTTAAAATTTTGCGCCGGACCGGGCTTGGGAAATTAGGCCCGATACAGATCACTAATTTAGCTAGTCACTAACACCCACTCGTTTACAGGAAAAGTTGTTGTTATTAATGCGTAATTAAACTCCAAGATAAGATTTAAGTTTTAAGTTTTACCATTATATTTTCAATTATAATTAATCATCAAAACGGTCACATTGATGCAACTGAAGCGTAGAATTTATTAATAAAAAATGAAGGCTAAGACATATTTATGAAAATTTATATAAAAACATTAGATAAAGTATTTTAATCAAAATTTTTATTTTTTAAAAATAGGCATCTATTCAGATAAATCCAAGGAAGTCAATTAAAACAAATATACCTAACCAATATTCATTATAATGAATTTAATTTTACATTAGTTCATTTTAATTTTATTACAAAATGTATATATTTAATGTTTTTATGTTAATAATGTACATAATAATGTTTATAATGATAAAATTTAATGTTTTCTTTAATATAATATTGTTTTGAATATTAATTTTAAATTACCTAACTTTGGCCAACTCCAAGACGGCTTAGACTTTTTATCCTAAAAATTGGCCTTAATTTAAGCGGGGGCGTAATTCAGAGGTTTAACTAACTTTTCAGACTAAAAGTTTGCCTCAAAATTAGCTATACTTCTTCACAATTATTTACTGTTGTTGCTGAGAATGATACGATTGGTAGGGAAAATTATAAAAAGATGCAATATATCATAGCAAAATATAAATAATCAGTTAATGACTAAATTAGGTAAAATACTATTAATCATATTTTATGTAATATTTACATATTACAATTTCCTCTACTATATTTAGTTTAGGGGCCAAATAAATTCGCTGGTGATCTGGTTTCCATAAGTCTCCCATTGTTTCGGCCCTGTGTGATTGGAAATTAAAGTCTTTTACCGAGAGATAAATGCTTAGTTACTCTCTTTGACATGATGCAAAAATTTTTCTTTATAAAAAAAGTCTTGACCCCCTACCCCTCTTTAGATCTACACCCGATTTACCCATTTGGAGTGATTATCACTTTTGAAATCAAAAGTTATTTTAATTATACCCTTCATTAGATAATAACTTAAAACTTTTTATTAATAGTTTAAAAAAAACAATCAGAGGCATAATAAAAGAAGGTCTCGGCACGATAGGGAATTTTAGAAAATATTTCATGGCCCCAAAAGAGGCGTATCAGATTAATAGATTTCCTTTTTAAATAATTACAATGATACCTCGAATAATTAATTGAATCCTTACATTAATAATTTGTTTGGGGAAAAATATAGTATAATTGTTTTTTTATTCAATTACACTTGAATCAGAATGTTTAAATTGTTGTTTTCGTTCATTCGGGATATATTTTATAAGTAAAATTTTCCGTTAATCTTATTTCAGGGACTTCATCTATACCTCCTTAAATGACAACCCCCTTCAAAATTTTTAAGTTTAGATCAAAATAAAAAAGAAAATCGAAATCAAAACTATCCAGGGCCTATTTCCTTTTATTTAAATGACAATAGCGTCTTCATAACTATCTACCCTCTCAAATTTCTATGATAATCTTTTGTTATCCCCACCCCCAGCTTCTTCCTGATAGAAGTCTCTGCCTTTATATCATTGGCATGACAATGATTATAAAATAATTAAATATTTTAGAATTGTAATTACGGAGCATGTCCATCAGGATCATTTTATAAGAAACAATTCATTCACAGGAAATTTTCAAATATGTTTCGTTTATTATAACCAAAATTGGAGAGAAATAATTTAGAATTGATTATACATTTTAATAAATTAAATATTGCCTAATCAATATTGTTTATAGCTGTGAAAGAAATAGTGTTGTTACCCTGCATTCACAGTTATCGCGAATTAATGGAGAAGTATGCAAAATTATATAAAAATGCAGCACATTTTGCATACTTCGCTGTGATTTAGTCCTAACTATGAATTCATGACACCTCATTCACAGTTAGCGCTAATGTGTGGTGGATATTACAAAAATAATCGTATTGCATAATTCGCTGCGAATTCACGCTAACTTTAAAGTTAAAGGGCTCGATTTAGCCAATTTTAAATTGAGCTGTTAGCCAAAATTATATTATGCAAGTCTCGAGATTTACTTATGTCCGAACTTTCCTGTAATCAATGAGTAAAATTTGAAGGTTATTATAATATTTATTGGTGAAAATATAGGGTTATCCGTTTTTAAAGATTGAGCCTTTTAACAACACAAAAAAATTGGTGGAGTTAATATCCCGTAATTATCTTTATGCATATTTAATCCTGTTTTACATAAGGAGAGGTGGAAGAAATGTAAGGATTGATATTGCCATAATTAAGCTTACGATCACAGCAATAAACCCTTAACAAAAGGGAAAAATAATTTGGATTATAATTGCTATATGGCCGATTTCAATAATTCTATTGATCCAATTTTAATTATCTAATTTTTAAGAATTATATGTTACCAAGAAAATCTCATAATGAATAAATATAACAAAAATTTAAACACTTCAATGAATTTATTCGTTTCCATTTAACATTTTATACAGAAATCTAAAATTAGAATGCGTGATTTGACAAAGTTTGCAGTAATAAATACACCAATTTGATCCAATATTTTCATAATTAACACGACTAATCCCTTTTTACTAACAATACCGGTATCAAATATAACTATGGAAAATAGATTTTTAAAGTTTAAAGCTAATCGAAAATCATCTTTAAATTGTTTACATGCAAACTCCTAAACCTTTCTTTAGATAAAATACTGTAGAAAATTTCATAAATTAATATCATTTAAATGATATTCCTATAAAAATGTAAAATTGATCAATAAAGTTATATTTTAAAATCAATTTTGTCCAATTAAAATACTGTATAAATAGTAATATAATTAGAGGGCCTAAAGAAAAATTCACTGGAGAGTCCTAAATCCCAATAGTAGTACTTAGGACTTTGAAAGCATTCCCGATCTCTCCACAAGACCTAGATTCGCATACATAGGTTAACTATTCCGATTAACTTCCATCAGATATTTTAAGTAACTTTTATTTGACACCCTCCATAATTTTTATAAAAAAATATCTAACATTCATATAAGGTTTCTCACTAAAGACTTAGACCGGTTAACTTAATATATGTAATCTAAAGATATTTAAAACCCTGGAGACCTAGAATGTTTACGTAAACTAATTATTAAGATAGCAATAATATTTTGATTATCTTTTATAATTTTTTACAATACTTTTAAAATACTACTCAGGATATATGCCTCTTTTTAGTTTAGAGTGATAATTACTAAAGTTAGCGATTTCTATACTCCCCAATGATGATTTGTTCCATATACCTATCTCTTTCTTACTCTTTATCCTTCCTACCCTTCAATAACTTTCCACCTAGAAATGACTATAACATTTAAAAGATATTTAAATAAGCTTTCATTGATTCCCGATGATTTTTTTAAAACTCATATTATATAAAGATTATATGACGGTATTATAATATAAAAAGTTTCTAATAAAATGTAATCTTCCCATATGACCCTCAGATCCAAAATTTTAGATGATTATCATATTATAATTTTATTTTAGATACCCATATCAAAATTTTTAATCCTATTTTTTTATTTAGTTTTCTTTGGGAATAAAAGTTAAGGGTTAAAAACTATTTTTAAAACATGAGCGGGTGAATTTTAAATATTTTTCGGGCTGAAAGAATATAACAGACCTCTATTAATTAAAAATTATTTTTTTGATTCATATTATATATTTCGGAGACATGTAGGTATTTCATAAAAAAAAATTTTGCCAGGCCTGGTCTAGATTTTTTTTAAGAAATATTTTTCAACTTGGTCCGATTTTTTAAGATATATCATTTATTTTAAATTTTTATAGCTAATAATGGCGATTTAAAATATTCGGTTTTAGGTATTAATAAAAATTGTAGGCCTTGCCCGGTGTTCAAAATTTTTTTTAGGTCCGACTCGGATATATTTAAAAGAATTAAAATTAGGCCCGGTCTGGGGGCCTGCATGTCTCTGATATATTTTATAAGTTTCATTAAAAATACATGAAAAAAAAGAGCCAAACAAGCCATTAAATAATTTTTAAACTAGGCTGATAGGCTGGCTAAGTGAAACAAATTTTTTATAAGTGGGCGGGCAGAGGTGTGTTGTAAATATTTAAAAAAAAACCATGTGTGAGCGGGTGGGCTAACAAAATTTAAACATGATTAGGCTTTAAAACCAACTTGATATTGAAAAGGTTATGATATGAAAAGGTACACACTACGTGATTATAAAATCAAACCTACGCTTAACAAGACATTTTGTCAAGGATGAAGTTTCCTCAAATTTTAAATTGGATCGGGCTTAGGTTTACTCTATGCTATTCCCCTGTCTAACTCTACGTTTAAAATAAACCATTATCTATGAGTTAGGAAGGTAAAATTTGAGTTATAGATCAATATCTATCGTAATGATTATTTTATTATTTAAGAAATCGAAATAGTTGAATCGTGCCATTAATTTTTTTAATAATGATGTTATCCTTATCCCTTCTGCTATATTTATACCGAAAATTATCGAGTATTTTACAGAAAGAATAAAGGATTTGAAAATTACGTATTTAAATAATAGAATCAATTTATTCTAAACCACCATATAGGTTAATTATTTTATATTTTTATTTTTGTTTATTTTTTCAATTATACCTTATTTATACTCTAATAATGATCTGTTATTACATTTATATAATGATTTTCCTGAATATTTATATTCCTACATGTAAGTCATAGATAATGTTCACAATTTTTTTTAAAATTAGTTAAGATACATTCGAACAGAGCAAAATATTAGCATTTTATAGGGCAAATATTCTATCCACCTAAGGAAAAAAATAAAATTGAAATCTTTAGAATTTAATTGATTCAATTAAAGGAAAGGGCACTTAGCAAAGCATTTTTTTGATCTTAGAAATAATTATATCATATGAAAGCTAGCCGCTTCAAGGGGTGACAGAATGAATTATTTTATACTTTCTCTATGCAATGAGATATGAATGAATATAATTTTAATTCTATATATTCATACATTATAATAAGTATTAAAACTATATCTGATATGAGATAAGTTTGTTTTTCTGGATTAATGAATTATTCAGAATCCTTAAGCAAAGAATCTGAGATTTAAAATATGCAAACAAAGCAAGCAGTTATTTTTTTTAATATGACCAGGGGTCACGGACCTAGAATAATCGGGCTTAAAGTGCTCTATCAAAATTTTAGGAGCCGCGGGTATACAACCCAAAAGTTTCCAGCTCTTTGAGAAAAACTTAAGAAATGTCTATATGAGTGATACACGGAGAAGATATTGATTTAGTTTTATTGGTCAAAAGGCTAAAAATTAAAATCCCTTATTTAAAGAAAAAGACGGTCTAAATTTAGGCAAAAATTTTTTTATTATTCGCTGCCAAAAGCTTAAACATCTATTTCCAAATAAATGATTGTCTCAGTTTAGACATTATTATGACACAAAATTAATTTATAACAAATTTGATAGTTTTTAAACATAACTCAAGATTATGGCGAATTGTTTTTAGAAAATAATTATAGCTTATATATTTATAATATTTTATTCAATATATTTATAAATATTTTGATTATAAAAAAAATGAATGAGAGAAACTTAACCATTTAAAAAAATATATAATAAATTATAATCATTTGAATAAATGTTAAATTAACATTTTATAATTTATATTTTGTTAATTGTTGTTGTTAAATAACGTAGTTCCTTGATGAGCTTATTCACTTAGTCATAAATATCTTATAAAAATTTTCTGAAATTTATAGGATATTGTGCTGGAATACATTTCCGAAAAAATGGGATTATTTTAATTTTAAATTAACTCGCTATTGGTAAAGAGCACAATCATAATGTTTTTTTACATTTTAAAAATCTGATTTTGCCAAAAAGTGAATTCCAGAAGTAGAATTAATAAATTTTAGATAATTTTATTATCAAAATTTGAATCAATTTAAATTTATATAATGGTATTTTTTCGAATTGACTGGATTTTAATTAGTTCATGAATAGATCGGTTACGTGATTTGACTAAGATATAAATATTTTTGAATAAAATAAGGGATGGGAGCAAAATGATACCAGTCAAATTTTTAAAAATCTTAAGCCGGCTTGGCGTTTCCACATTATTTGCATATTAAGCTAAAGGTATATCAAACTTCATAAACCTACAAAACCTCCGTGTTCAAGTGCCTTTTTAATTTCATTTTAATATCATATTATTAAAATTTATAGAATAATACCATATAAAAATTTTCCATTTATTTAATATTTATTTGCGTATAAACTTAAATCAGATGGCTACATTCGCTCTCCCCAACCTAGACTTACGCAGCCTCCAGGTGAGTGAAAATTTTTTTTAAAATCAATTCTACCAACATATAATGTTAACGTAAGATAAAATAAATTACACTTGTAAAAAAATTGTTTATTTTAGTTTATTCGCGTGTTAACTTAAAACCAAGTAACGTCAATCACGTTTTGTATCCTAGGCCCAAGCCTATGTCACCTGTGGGTGAGTTGTTTTTTTTATCCTAACCATACATTATTCAGTAGAGTTCACTAGAGGGGGAGGCCAAGAGGCTAGAGTCTCCTGAAAGATTTGAAGAGCCCCCTCAGAATTTTTTTTATACCACTAAAAAAATAGATAAGAAAGCTTAAAAAAGTTAATTTTAGATAATGTTCGCTAAAAAAAGGATAATTTTGAAAATAATTTTATAAAATTTTTTTGAGATCCCTGATATTGTGAAGGCTAGTGACACCCCTGATATTATTCAGATTTTAAAAAAACTAAAATTAAACATTATAGAAAAAGTTTTCCACTTTTCATTTATTATACATTATAAATAATATATCTATCAAAGTTCAACAGAAACCAATAATTAAAATTCTGAGACGTCGTCCTAATCCTACTCCATGTGAGTCATTTTTGCTTTGTTTTTGATTCATGTAATATATATTATTTTTTAAACTTAAAATTAATAAAATAAGACAGTTATAATATTATTACCTATAAATAGAATATAATTCTCATTTAGTTTTTTTTTATAAAATGATCAAATATATGACAAGTAGTATATAGATTTAACACTTTTTTCTAGCTTATTAATTATTTGAGCCTAGATTATCACATAATTAAGCTCCGCCTTGGAAATACGAGCAAAAAAAATTATCGGATTAAATCATCCACATTTGGGAAACTATTTATCAAACCAATTATTAATATTTTTGAGGAGATAAAATTATATTCGAACATTTCCGATTTTAATAAAGGTCCATTATTTAAATATTTTTTTAGTGTAAAATATGTCGCTCGCTTGGGCAAAAACTCCACGAGCTTTTAGCGAATGTGTAAAAAATATCTAATATCAGTTTCTCTCATATCCGTTTTATTAATAAAAAAAATATTTGTTAAAGAATATCCTATTTGCATATCTCTTAAAATAAATAGTTGAACCTTATTTTAATTTTGTAATTGGTGAACTTATGTCTGTCATCTATTACATTTTATAAATTGGTGAGATTATACTATTTAAATTCTTAAAAATCATATTTACGAATTTTTAAAAATCAAATACAAGCTAATATAAGAAATATACATACATTAAATAAATGTATAAACTTAAATATCAAGGTGGTGTCTCCACTTGCAAACCCGGATACTTTATGCCCAGACCAAATTCTCCAGGTATCAATTATTCTTGAGCCTTTATTTAAAACTGGAAATAATATTTTTTTTTGCAAACATATAATTAAACCATAAGTCGCTCCTCCCAGAATCAAGATTAGACGACCTCATATAGGTATATTAATTCTGAACGTGTATATATTTTTTTTAACTTATCAAGTTATTAATAATAAGAATAACATGGATAAGAAATTGATTAAATTTAGGATACTTTATATAAATAATAATAATTAATGATCCTTGATTTAAAAATCATAAGGTATCAATGTATAATCTAGAGTTTCTTTATCACGTTTAGCCGAATACCCATTGGCTCAATTGAGTTTTAGTTCCTGGTTATTAATCGAACATTATTTTTTTATTTCGTATGGAAAAAGAAAATATAATTTTGCTTTTCAACTACTCCTTTTTAAGTTTCTTTTTCAAGAAATGTCGGAAAGTTATTATGATGTTCAAAGTTCTACTATAAATCAATTAAAAACAAGAAACAGGCTAATATGTTTTCCTCAATATAATAATTTTTTTCATAATTAAAATTAATTTATAAATTTCTATACATTGCTGTAAACATATAGGTATGTCGCCATCATCACATGCAAAATTATTTAATAATTCGAAGCACCGACACAGTATACATACCTTTTTAAAATCCAATGATATCAGCAATGTGATGGGTATACATTATTTTACATATTATTTTCTTAAATTTGATTTTGTTTTTGAATTCGAATATGGATTTTATAAAACTGAACATGATGTTGGTACAAATATTCAACATCCTTTAATATAAAACAGGTCTCGTGTTGATAAATGGCTCGATTTAGTGGATTTTAAATTATGAATTTAGTTAAGATAATATAATATTACGCTAGTCTCAAAATTTTGTTAATAAATGCCTAAACCTTTCTGCCATCTTTGAATAAAATCTCAGGATCGCGTAATATTTAGTGGTTTATTGGGGTTAACGTTTTTAAAAATTGAATTTAACAACACTAAACAGGTCGTTAAATTAAATTTCCTGCGATATTTATTAATAATAAAGTAATATAAATTAATAATTATGTTCTTTAATCTTAAGTTCTTATAAACCTTTTTTAAATTGAATCTATAACAATAAATAATATACTAACAATTCGAAAAATGTAATTCTAATTTAAAAGACTATATTACACTATCTGGGGCTAATTGATGTTAAAATTATAATTTGTAATAATATTTCCCAATAATGGGTTAACTTTAAATATTACATTACAAAATGCCTTATTAAACTAAATAAATGTAATTAATTATATAAGCGAAATATAGCCGTTAATATGCAGGCGTGTAGGGAGAAATATTGGGGGGGGGGGGGTAAATTTGATTTTATGATATGTCGTAATTTTGAGTACTTGATTTATATAAAATTGTGTTTATAAATGCATAATGGGCTGCGCATCATCATAAGTTAAATAATATTTTAGGTGAAAAACGGAACATATGTGTGGAAGAATTAATAATTTCCACCTTCTCTAAACAAAATTATTAAAATTTGGGTATTTTTGTTTGATGTCTTTTTGCACAGGAGTATTTTTATCCAGTGTCTCTCCTGGATACATTTATCCGGGTCTTTCTGTCAGTCAAATGACAAAATTCCTAAAGTAATGATGAATAATATTAAGGCGCAATTCTTAAGAAAATGACCTAATATATTGTCAATCTTAAAATCATTATATAAGAAAGAAAGAAATAATTTATTTATTTATTACATTTAATTCTTTTATCAATATATCTCAACACGTAAAATACAAGTCAAATTGCCTGGATCTAGGAGAAAACTACCGCCTCCAGGTGAGTCATTTATAAGTTAAATTTTTTTTAAAAATTATATATCCATATTTTGATAAACCTCTAAATTTAAATCACAAAAAAAGGACCAATAAGCAAGTGCTGTAAACGTTGAGCTCTTTAGTTTTAAAACAAAATTGAAAAGATTTACTTTTTGAATATTAAAGATTTTTTGTTAATAAAAAAGATTTCATGGAAAGTTTTAAAAAAAACAGATTTAGCTAATATATTCCACAAGAAAAAATTTAAAGAAATAATGATTAAATACGTGTTTTGAGTATAAAGTTTTTGATATTAAGAAAAGAGTTCTAGGAACTATGGATTTGATGTTATGTTGGCCCAACCATTATTTTTATTTCACAAAGAAAAGTAAAAAATTTTTAAAAAGAGACACTGTTTCGAAACTAATTTAATATTTTTGGCAAATCAGAAAAATATTCTGAGAACTCTGAGTGTAGAAAAGGTTAGTTTAATTTGTAATGAGCAAAGATAAAAATATTTCAATAGAAAGAAGAATAAAAATAAAAAATACGATTACAAAAAAATTAAGAATATTTTTAAATTTAAAATTTTTTGGACCTTAATTTTTAAGGACTTAAATAACGAAACGTTATTTCGAAGTTCTATTATATTCCGAATTTTAAACAGGAGAGTGTTAGATTTATTTTTCTTGAGTTTTTCTAAAAATATCTATTTAATTTTTTTTTAATTTAAATTTTAAATTTATAAATTTATTCATATTTCTGCTTAACCCAAAGATATATCATCATCATTATCAAATCACCATGCAAGTTCATCAAATACTTTGAAGAAAAAAGACACTATTTATCACTTTTTAAAATCCAAAAATTACAGCAATGTGCTAGGTATTATTTTACATACACTATTCTCTTAAAATTTGAATTGTACTTTTTTTGATTTTGGACTATTTTTTTATCACAAGTAAAGAATTAACTCAAAATTAGATAAAATATATAAATAAAGATTTTGGATAGCATGTTTTATGATAGATATCAAATAGTTTATTTTTTTAAAATGAGATTGATAAACTTTAAAAAGATGAAATTAAATAATTTATAAATTTTTTCGGTTTTCTAAATTCCAAAATCATTATTAAAAAAATTCAAACAAAAATATTGGTGGTTATAAATTGTTTTCATTTATTTTTAATCAATATCTCGAAACCGAACTTAAAAGTGAGAATACCAGGAGCTAGAAGACGACCGCCTTCAGGTTAGTCATTTATATGTTTTTAAAAGAAATTTAATGTCATAGGGTATTTAACTGTCTTTAACAATTAAATCATTTACATTGTACATTGTACATTGTACATTTTTTTAATTTTTTTATTACTTAATGTCTTTGATTTTACCGGAATTCTATTCTAGCATGTATAATATAAATTTCAGATAATTTTATGATAAAAGGGTCTAAACTATGCGGCAAGTGGGGTAAAAAGACAACTAACAAAATTTTTTTGGGAACTTTTTCTCCTATTTTATTTATTTTGTAATTTTTAATATCTTAAAAAACGGGGATTTTTTTCCGGGGAATTATTTTCTTAGATTCAATTATTTCAAATTTAATCAAAAGATAGATTTCTATACACAATATCAACCACGTTTATTAAATAGTGGGAGAGGAGGGGGGGGGGGAGGAAGAGAGAGGCTCAGCATTTAAGTTTATTGATCAAAAATAATTTTTTAGAACTTAACCAAAAAAAATTTCATTGCTCTGCTTGCTTTGAACCGCATTACAAATTTTTCAAAATATTTAAACGTAGTTTTATTCTTTGCATATTATCTCTACGGTAAATATAAAAGAGCGAAATTTAAGAGATATGAGTTATTTTAAGAATAACTGAATATTTGGATTTAAAGAAATTAGGGCAAATGATGATGACAAGTCAATATTTTGGCCAGAAAAATATAGCCTAAACCTCGAGATTTTAGTAAAAGATGTCTAAGCCATTGTGCCATCTATGAGCAAAATCTTTAAGCCTGCGTAATATTTTTTTGAATAAAATGTTGAGTTAGCCGTTTTTAAAAAGAGGCTCAAATATTTTGGGATAGCTCTTTGAATACCAAAAAAAAAGCCTTTCAGATAGTGTTAATTAGTGTAGTTAAAAACGACTTGTTTTGAGCCGATTTTTAAAAACGGCTAACTCAATATTTCATCCAAAAAATATTATGCAAGCCGAATAATTTGCTCATAGAAGGAACAAAGGTTTAGACATATATTATGAAAATCTCGAGGCTTAAGCAATATTTTTTTGGCTAGAATATTGAGTTAGCCGTTTTGAAAAATTGGCTCAAAACGAGCCGTTTAACAACACTAGTATTAATGAATATTCGTCTGAAATTCATTTTTTATAATGTTCGGATTGGTGAGATTTGTGGGCCTTATCTGATATTTGATGTATTAGTTATCCGACATGGATAGATAATATTTTATGCACAAATTAAATTTTATCTATAAAAAAATCAATATCGGCTCGTTGATTAGGCTTTCGGGTGGGCCTAGCCTAGCTTTGTAGACTTCCATTTAAACCTAATTAATTTTTTTAAAATTCAAATCCTAAATTTGTTAACATCTACATATTCCCGCAAATCCAAAGATAAGTCGTCATCATTACAAGTTAGCCAATCAGATAATTCAAAGAAACAACATATTTTACATAATATTTTATAAAAATTTGAACGTATACATTTTTCATTTAGAATTATTTTTCGTACATATTTTGTATATTTTTTGGGAATTAATATGTTAACTAGGTGCTAAATAAATGGCGAGTAAAAAGGGCACTCAAGGTTGGGTAGAATAATGATAAAGACATGAGTAGAGCATGGGATGGGGGGGGGGAATAAATAACAAATTTAATTTTCTTAACACTTACAAATGAAAAAATTTTAAAGAAATATTTATATTTTTTATAACGTTAATAAATAGTCAGTGGGTGTGTATTTTTTAAGCTCAATTCAACGCGGCACCCCACATTTAAAATGAATTGAAAGAGTCCTTGAGAGAAAGAATAAACATAAGTACTTTGAAATTAAATTGAAAAGAAGTGCAAAAAGGTAGATTAAGATAGTCCACTAGTACAAGGTTTTTAACTTTATTCCAAAAATCAAATCTCTAAACGTTTTAATCTCGTTCACCACTAAGGGTTTAGGTTGAGGTTACCCCTGATTCTAAGTATAAGTAAAATATAATTCGAAAAATATTTACATAGTTGATGTTAATATTTTAAAGACTAAACATTTCCAAACGTTTAATATAAGAAAATTATTTTGAAGATCTACTATGAACATAATTATAATTTAAAACCAAAGAGTATCTCCTTCCTTTATCTAGCTTCACGCAAGATTTAATCTTTGCGTCTTTGCGTGTACTTTAATCCAAATAATATTTATAATTCAAATTTGTAAATTCATTAACTTCTACATATTTCTTTCTAAATCAAAGATAGGTCATAATCGTCACATACAAACCCATCATATAATTCAAAAAACAACAATATACCTTTTTAGGAACCAGTAATACTGATGACAGATTATTCTACAAAGGAATTTATTCAAATTTGATTGATGATCTAGATTGATTTTTTTTTTACCTAGCATGAATTACATTAGATATAATGCTGGCTAAGCACCAAATACGTTTCCCTAAAAAACGAAAGACAGAAGTTTAAAAAAAAACACTAGCAGGAGGGTGAGTGGAGCATAGCCGAATAAATAGAGATGGAAGTTTGAGTAGAGCATGAAGGAAAACAAATTGAATTTCGAAAATAATATTCCAAAAATCAAATATCAGGGTGTTTTAAAAAAATCGGTTCATCTTCGGGTTAGGGTTCAGTTTATGCCCTGATTTTACGTATATAAATAAATAATGATGCCAAAAAAATTACCATTAAATGATTGTATTTTTTGGGAACATACATAAACATGATCAAAATATAAAGCTAAAAAATATTCATATTTCTTTCTCTCTTAATAAAACCAAATTTAAATTACTAAATTGAAAAAATTTATCTTTTCACATATTTCTGCAAAATAAAAGATGGGTCATCATATAAACATGCAAGCCCATTCGATAATTCAAAGAAACATTCTTATACCTTTTTAGGATCCAGTAACACCAGCGACGTGAGAGGTATTATATTATATATTCTTTTATTAAAAGTTGATTGTACATTTTTTATTCAAATTATATTTTTTATGTACCTAAGTATTTAATTTTATTAGATAATATACAAACAAAATTGGATAGTGAACTAGGTGCAAAATTAAAGTAACAGACCTTCTAAGGGTCATTATTAAATTTGATGGAGGGTGGGGATGATTACGATAGTTTAATATGACAAGGAAAGGATCAGTTAAAGGAGATGGTAAGAGGTTAAGATACTTGAGGTCTAAGTAGAGCAGGAAAAAGAACCAAAAAGTTTGAATTAAAAAATCAAACAAATATTTTATGCCACATTAAAATTTGAACAAACTATTAAAAATTGAAGTAAATTTTTTTATTTTTAAAAAAGCTGTTTCAATTTAAAAAAAAAACTAAATACAGATTCCTATCGGTCTTAGAGTCGGACCGATCTTTTTTGAGGACCGTGGTCCGAGCCAGTCTTTTTATTTGGCTCGGACCCTTTTATTAAGGTTTAAGTTTGCTTTACTATTAAATTAATATATAATTTTTTTGTATATATTATTTATAATATTTTTCTAGGGGAGTTATTTTCGATTTCGTTAATTTTTATTTTACAATATGAAATACATAAGTTTGTCCAAGAAACATTTTACTTATAGTCCCAATAAAAAACATTCACTGCACTACCAAATTTAATTTCTCGTCAGCAACTAGTAACAAAATAATTGTTTATAATTTTTTAAGCAATAAATTAATCACAATAAGCAGTAATATTAAATATTTTGGTTATTATATAGTTCTAGTTTTTCTTAAGAAACTGTCTGTATAATTTATTGTAAAAATTACTTAATCTTATTCTTAATAAAATAATTAGGTATCTTAAGCAGACATCTGATAAAACATAAAATATATACTTCTAATGATGAAAATGCAAATATCTCAAAAAACACAATCTACTCTTAATTTTAATATGCCCTCCACAAGCACAAAATCATTTTCTTCAATACCATTGGATAAATTTTATTGTTTATATAAAACTCTGATATTTAATAAAATGATAAAACAAATCAAATTAGGTTAAAAAAATATGTTTTTTAAACAAATAAAAAGACCGGTCCAGGACCGGTTTTTTTATTTAGGACTACGGTCTGGATCGATCTTTTTCTTAAGGACCGTGGTCCGGTGCGGTCTGAGGGTATCGGTTTAGTCCGGACCAAAGACCGGCCCGTGACCTTCACTAATATGGACAAATTTAAAATAAAAAATCTATTATCAAATATATTAAATAGTAAATATGTCCATTTTTTTTTACCTAATTCTACAAGACAACCCGATTTTTTCATGCAATTTTTTGCAAGTATCTATAAAAAACATTAACATTTAAATAAAGGATGAAGCCTTAAAATAAAATACATATAGGTAGCTGAAAAAAAAAGTTGAAAAGGCTAGTTAGTAAAAAAAAGAGAGAGAAAATTAATGCAGATTAAGAGAGGCTAGAAAATGTATTTTAAATATTGTGTCCACTAATAAAAGATTTATAACTTTATATTCCTAAAATCGAGTCTCTAAAAAATTTTAATCGTCAAGATATTGGACATCAAATTAAGGAAAAGGTTTAAAAACAATGGGAGAGGTTTATTGGAAGCCAACGCTTTATAAAAATATTTATGTTGTTTAAAACTAATGCGGTTTCTACCACGTCGGTAAGTGGGATAGTCAGTAAAATCTAAAGTAGAAGGTATAAAGGGGGGATAGATGGTATAAAGGGGGGATAGAAGGTAAGGCGTAGGATTAGATTATTGAAACTTCCCTTTGTCTTTTTGAGGGTAATTTGATATTGATAATCTTAAATATTTACTCCTCATTTATTCACAATGAAATAGGGAATAAATTTTATTATAAATTACTACAAATAGTATTTATTCTACATGGGGATCTTATTATATGCTACAATGCAACATAAAGTTATTAAAATGTATATTTGAAATAGAAATAAATAATTTTTAAAACATAAATTTGTTACTTGTTTTGCAATACCAATTGTCACTATATATTTTGATTTTGGAATCACTGTTTTAAAATGGATATTATGCTATCTATCTTATATCTATAATAAATATTTGGGGTTTCGGTGGATGTGTGAATTTCAGTTATTAATCGTCAATGAGGTGTAGAACCCGCTGGGGCGTAATATAAAACGATACAATAATTTTTTGTCACAAATCTACTAGTATTAAATTAACTTCTCAAAAAAGTGATAAATAATTATTAGTTTAAAAATTATTTAGATATTGCTTCCTTTAAATAATTAACATCTTGTATATATGTTTCTACAAAGTTTTATTTATTTTTATATAATAATTTTAAAAATATAGCATTTTTTGGAAACCAAAATTTACACTTTAATTCTTACAATTAAAAATAACATTATAATGTGAAAAGTTTATAAATTTTAATTATTTCATATTTTGAATATATTTCTAAAAATTTAAAACATAATTAAGGGACAATTCTGTTTCATTTTCGACACTACAAAAATACTCATATTAACCTTATTTAATATAAAATAGTTGAAATTTATATCTTATTTTTAAAATTTGTAAAATTCAAGATTATTTTGTAAAATAAAAAAAAATATTGAGTTATATAGCTAATTTCTTTAAGAATGCAATTTATAACTCTAAATGTTTACTCTTCAAATAACTTTTAAAAACATAATAACGAAATATACCCTACTCAAGGGGTTAACAAACATATTTGGCCAATTAATTTCTTTCAATAAGTAATGAGACGAGAAATTACAACTGGGTGATGCCACGAACTAACGATTGGGACTAGAACCCCTGACTAAAAGAATCCAACAATTCTCTCGTCAGTGGGGTTTTCTAAGGCTAGAACGATCTAATTTGCAATCTTAGAATATTAAATTACAAATTTTTATCAAAATTCCATATCCCCTTTTATTTTGGAAAATGTTTAAATAAAAGAATCACTAACTATGCCATCTTTCCCACTTATAAATGCTCCTTTTAGCAACAATACTACTTTTCATGATCTAGCCAAATTTTTAGTCTAGAAAATAGGATGTGTTATATACGCGAGTAAACAAAAATTTATTCAGCTTTCCATCAGTTTAGATGACGAAAAATGTGTCCCAGTTTCAATGCTTAAGAATCTTTTGGCTAATTCTGCCCAATGAACTATTTTCGATATAATAAATAACTATATCTTTTTATTTTTATTTATTTTTTGCCATCAAATATCTCGAAATCGAAATTGCAAGTCAACATTCAAAGATCCAAAACAATACCACCTCCTATAGGTTAGATTTTTTTTGCAATTCTATTTAGGGAATATATAATTTTTTCTAAATTATAAAATCAAATTACATTAAATTAAATTATAAAGGTTAGAAAAAAATTGATTTTCATCTATTTTTCATATATAAATAATGAATCTAAACTGAAATTAAAGTATGGTATAAAAATAACATTTGTTTTTATTATCATGCTCTAAACTCTAACCGATAATATTATGACTAAAAATTATTTTTTATACCCTGCAGTTTTTAAGTAGGGTCCACATAATCCAGCCTATTTATTTGAGTATTTTAATAGTTTTTCATATAATATTTATATTGATTATTTTTATATCAATAATGGCATTTAAAATCTTGTGTCAGTTTTAAGAATTTCTACACTAAATATCGTTTATTTATTATAATGCTTAGATTTTAAAACCCATTTAATAATTTGATTTTGAGATCTAGCATATTTAATTTGGGACCCATTTCCGACCCATGCTATCGGATTTATTTTAAGCCTGTGCTAATGAAATGTTAAATCCTGATGGAATATCAAATTCATTTTTTTAAGTTATAAACTCATCAAAACAAGTTATATATAATAAATATTTCTTTATTTTTATCAATATATTAGATATCTCTAAACTTGAACCACAATATATTCCAGGACGCTACAAGATACCCAAACAACATATTTCTCAAGGTGAGACAATTCAGTTTAAATTATGAACTGTTAAATATAATTTTTTTTTACTCTTAAAACCTCAAAATATCGTTCTTTTGGAGTGATAAATTAGTTATAAATAAATATCGGAAATCCGCAGAAATATCCCTATCGTATTTTTAGAAAGAAAGAAAAGAGAGAAAGAAAGAAAGAAGGAAGGAAAGAAAGAAAGAAAGAAAGAAAGAAAGAAAGAAAGAAAGAAAGAAAGAAAGAAAGAAAGAAAGAAAGAAAGAAAGAAAGAAAGAAAGAAAGAAAGAAAGAAAGAAAGAAAGAAAGAAAGAAAGAAAGAAAGAAAGAAAGAAAGAAAGAAAGAAAGAAAGAAAGAAAGAAAGAAAGAAAGAAAGAAAGAAAGAAAGAAAGAAAGAAAGAAAGAAAGAAAGAAAGAAAGAAAGAAAGAAATCTTCTCTAAATTACAATTTTCGGCCGGATTTAATCATAAACTATGTTTGGGTCTGGACCAAAAAATGTTTAAAATTAAAATTTGTACCAAAAATGGGGAGGGCTACATGTCTCTAATATGTATTTCATTTTTTATTATACTTCTGATATTCCCTAAAAATTTAATTACTCAAGATATAAATCGCACATGCAAACCAAGGCCTAAGCCAAAAACGTCTATCCCTCCAGGTGAGCCATCCTACATCCTTTATAAAAAAAAAATTTTTAAATCATATTTATATTCTCTACCTTTCCTATACTGATACAATAGGCGAAGTCTCTGTACCAGAATTTATAGAATCAGTAACAAACATTTCAGAAGGCTCAGTCGAACCAATTTCAGAAATCGATTACAGCGTTGAATATGAAGATTGTAAATTTTTTAAATTTAAAACCAAAAAAAAACATAATTGTTTAATTTTGGGGTCTTGCTAATTCCGATAACTCCCTAATTTAACCAAAATTTTGAAGTTCCAATCAAAATTCCTATTAATTAACTACAATGTAATTAAACTATGTCTTGATAAATTGGGCAAATATTTAAGTTGGGCAAAAGTCCTATTCCCAAAGATGCCAATTAGACAGGGTTTAACTGTATTATACTATTTATATAAGAATGTCATCCTCATCACATTTATTTTTATAAACTTTTTAAAAATTATATCAAATTAAATCTATTGATAAAATAAAAATATCTAAAATAATATTTATTTTTCATTTATTTTTTTCACAAAAACTTATTTATTAATTTGAAACCAAGATATTGTCGACATGGCAAACATGGACTACTTTTTGACATGAGGGTGGGAGAGTTCAATTATTTTTTAAAGAAATATCAATAACATTAAAGGAGAAATTTCTATCTAAAATTTTTAAAAAATGAAAAGGATGGATTAGAGTCTAATGCCGTATAGCCGCTTCACCTATTTTATCATTTTAAACTTCTATTTTTATTCTTCCAAACTTAAAACACAAGATGATACTCATGGGAAAGGCTTGGCACCAGAACATGCAATATCAGTAAATAACATCCCTGATAATGGCATCGAACCACTTACTGAAATTGATTATAGCGTTGAATATGAGGATGGTAATTTATAAAATTATTTAAAAAATAAAATGTTATATATTTAATTAAGATTATCATCAATATTTAAATTATAATCAAATAAACAAATTGATGGGGGAAAAAAATTGTATATAATTTAAATTTTTATAAGGCTCAATATTTTCTTTTTAGATAATAGATTTTTTTTAAAAAAATATAAGTTTCGCTTTATATGATTTCTAATAAGTTTGTGTGCGAAAAGTTTGAACCTAGATTCAAACCAATATTAATATTTTTTTACAAGCCTGAGCCATAAACCATGTTTATTTCTTGAACCTAAATCAAATCGATATTAGTTATGGGGGTTTACATTTCTGATATTTTATTATTCTAAATCCTATTTTTATTCTCTAAATCTAAAGCACCAAATATTACTTATGGCAAAATCATGCCGGAATCTATAGTAACGGCAACTAATATCTCGGAGGGTTTAATCGCACCACAATCAGTAATTGATTACAGCGTTGAATATGAAGATGGTAATTTTAAATTTTATCTAAAAAAATACCTTCTGTTAATCCTCAAAGATTTTTTGCCCTAAAATTTTGAGCGAAAATAAAAATCTTCAAATGCTCATTAGAATTATTTTGGTGAAAGCCTAGAAAAATATAAATGTATATAAAAATTACTTATACAGATTCCCCAAACGGAGAGACCTCTACCGATTGTTAGTCTGTATAAACTATGCAATGTTCTTTTTCAGATGTATGGGTATATCTAAGAACTACTTCTATATATATATATATTTACATTTATCCAATTTTTAGTAAAAACTAGATATAATTAGAATCGACGGAATATTAGGTCTAGTTAACATCTTCCATTTTAATCTTCCGTTTCTTTTAAATCAAACGTAGCGATTGTATACTTTTATTAAAATAAAAATCATGCGTAATCTATCCAATTTATTGGAAACCGGGGTAAAGCGATAGACGGGTTAACGATGTTAACGCGAATAACTTTTTAACCCTTAAGCACCAAGTCTTTAAATTATGTGAAGATGTATCTTACTTTCAAAAAACCTATCTGGTTTTATATATTTTGTCAAAAAACGGTTTTTTACCCAAAAATTATAAAAGTTATTCTCTAGTATATTTAGCTTTTAGTAAAATATCGCATATATGTTCCTTAATGTATTAGCTATAAAATTAAATTTATCTGACGTTCAGTTAGTACTATGCTAGAAGTCATGCAATAACGATATTTATAATATTTGTCACCTTGGGGTAAACAGTTATGGGCAAAATGGTTCAAATATCTAATCATTAACCTTATATTTTCATTCATTCATTTAATAATTTTTATTATATTAAATAATGATAAATTATAAGAGAAAGCCCATAATTAGAAATGTAAGTATGATTGATAGAGCTTTAAAATACAAAATAACAAATAATACTTCTGTAAAAATATAACATACCTTATATAAAAATAATATTAAACGTTCAGGTGATGTTAAGCATCATAAACAAATAGATTGAGTGAATACATATTAGATGCCAGTAGGTCATTTATGGGATTAACTCCTAAACAATTAAATTATATTGTTAGTATTTGAATTGAGTATTAATTATTAAATATTTCAATTTACCATTATTAATAAGTTATCAAATCATATTTGAATTGAAAATTATTAAAATAATGAAATAGATTTACATTTCAAATAAGCATAAAATTTTGAAAATTATTTTATATTTCAATTAAGCATTTTTAATAAAGCTACCAAATTAATATTGATATTTGAATTAAGCATTATGAAATACATTATATATTTCAATGGAGAATTTTTAATAAAGCAACCAAATTAATATTGATATGAATTAAGCATTATTAAAATTATGAAATACTTATATATTTCAATGGAAGAATTTTTAATAAAGCAACCAAATTAATATTAATATGAATTAAGCATTATTAAAATTATTAAATACAATATATATTTCAATTGAGCATATAATTATGAAATTTATTTTAGACACAATTGTGCATTTTTAATAAAGCTACCAAATTAATATTGATATGAATTAAGCATTATTAAAATTATGGAATACATTATACATTTCAATTGAGTATTTTTATTAAAGTTCAAAATTAAGATTATGAATTTAATTGAATTTATTAAATTAATTATATTATTTTAATAAGTCTACAGAACTGGTATTGGTAATTATTAAAATGAAATTGTTTTATTTTATAAATAAACAAGATAAGAGCATTTGCATCAGCTAGTTATACAATATCACAATGTGCCTGTGTTGATTAGTTTATGAATAAAAATCATAAATATATCTTAAATTTGTAATATTTGCTAAATATAACAATAAATATGTGTCAAATATTACAGGGTAAAGTGGGTAAAATGAGTAGTTTGACATACTAATCATAGCTCCTAAAATATCATAGGTAGAGGGCTACACTTTTTCTATCTTATAGATGAGGAATTGGGTTATTAAACATTAATATATAATTTGTTGTGTTTGACTTTTGTTTAAAATTTTTATGGTAAATATGCAAAATTATCGCTTTACCGGTCTCCCCTATTATTTCTCTAAATTTTGTCAAACAAGAAAATTGATTCCCAGTCATAATTACACCTAATTTTATCATATTTTGAGCACAAAACAATGATATATATTATATATAACTGTATTCTTAATGATAAATTCGGTGTAATTTAGACAACACGCCAGTACATTTTAAAGATGGGAAGCATTTCAATTTTATTTTTAAATAAAGTTTAGTTTTAACACATTATTCTGCTTCCGGTTACCGTTCTGCGTAGTCAGGTAATATCTGTAATAACGACTTATATAATTTTTTGAAATTTTTAGAATCGATATTTTACATATGCTGGATTTGACGGTATAATTTTTTTTAAAAAACGCCCATAAAATAAATGATTTGGAGCGTTTTTAAATTTGAAGATCCTTTTACCGATTCCAATATGTACAAAACCTATCTCATAAATTTTAGGCAAATTAATCATCAAATTTTGAGTTTTATTTGTAATATATATATGCACTAATTATACAATATTTTACTTGGATTGGCCGAAATATTTTCTGTATTACCTGATTTCGCATATTTCCGCTGTAACACATATACTTCGAAAAGCATCGTATATATTATTACCGCGCTGGCTAATTTCCCAATATCTATAAATCCTTGAAACTCTATCCTACATTGCATTTTTGAAATATAAAAGTTATATCCACTAATAATTATATTGCTATTTCACTGATAAAAGTTGTCATTTTATAAAGATAGATAATATACATCTTTTTTTAAAAGGGATTTTAATTTTGTCTCCTTTCGATTTCCTTAAATTATAGTTTGTCCTTTTTTTACTCCTTCCGCCACCTTAAGTGATTTGGGTTTAGTAAAGAAACCCTTCATTCCTAGTGATATTATCCTATTCTCCTTATAGCGAAAAATCGTAATTGTGCTTAAAAATCGTTTTATTCTGGCCGAATATTAACATTTCGAAATGATATTCAAAAATTTTTAAGCCATATCATATGCTATGTAATATTTTGAAATGAATTTTAAAAAAATTGACTATTTCTTAAAAGTTTTATACATTCAGTTTTGAAGAAGCCTAGAATTTAGAAAGAATACCCATTCCTAGTTTTGGTCTCTTATTTTATAACGATGCGATTAAAATACTTACAATGACAATGTTATAAGGAGATAAAATTCTCAATATTAACATTGCGAAGGTTTAAACGCAGTGATTAAAGATGTGGGCCAGAACCAGGTCATATTTTTATATTTACTATTGATAGAAATAATAATAATTTATTGATAATTCATCTATTTTAAGATAAAAATTCAATTTCTACCCATCAATTGTTGATAGCTAGATAGACTGGATATCGAAGAAAGTTTCAATTTAACTTCACATTCGTTTATTTTTTTATTTTATTCTGGAACTAATATTTAATTCATTGTGATATAATGTTTACAATAAAGTTTAATGTTTTCATTACATTTATATTTGTTCTTATAATTAAACATTTGAATTTTATATATAAAAAAAAACTCGAATGAAGAAATTTCCTATATGATATGATATGTTAACCCCCCCCCCCCCCGGCTAACAAGTAAAACTTTCTAGCATCATATTTGATGCTAGTTTGATATATTGTAGTTGTGATTACCAATATAGAGGAAGAGAGAATTATATAAATATAAACACATTTTTTGCCGAAATTTATAAAAAAAATATAGAACTTGTGATTAGATATACAAGCTTTTACTAGTAAAATAGGAGAAAAGATTCTCTTCAGAGATTTGTTATTTACCATATGCCATGTTATAAATAAATAAGACAATTTTACAGCAAAAATTTAAAGTGATATGATGAATCTGGTGCGTTGCTATTTAGGTTCTAAGATTCTAAAGCATCTTCCTAATCGATTAGTATTTTTCAAATTAACACTAAATTTTTAAGTAATTAACGCCTCGTCTAAACATATACAGTGTTATGATAATGAAACATATTGAAAATTAAATTAAAACTCATCCATATAAAATTATAATCTTTGCAAAAATAATTAAAATAACAAAAGGAATACATAAAAGAAATTTCAATAATGTTTTCTTTGTCTATATTTTAATTATTTTTGCAAAGTATAATTTTATATGGATGGGTTTTAATTTAATCGTCAATATGTTTCATTAAATCTTCACAACATAGTAAGATAATATTTTACTTAAAATAAAGAAAAAATTGAACGGAAGAAAAATTAATTGTAAATAAATATTATTTCTTTATGTTATTATTACTGTAAAATAAGTGTTTATTATTAAAAATATACAATAAAAAGAGGAACAAACAAAAATTAAACAGATAATTTTACTTCTTTTCGCCTTTAAACAAAATCGCAAAAAAAATTTTTTATTATTAAATTAAATATTCATTCATTTTTGCGCTGATTTTTGAATATAAAAAAGTTGTGGTTTAAATTTTAGGCATAAAATAAGGTAAATTATAAATATTTAGATATAAGATTTATTTTCTTATGATATAAACAAATTATTAAAATAAAATTACTAGATTTATTCAATAATAAAGTCATGCAAATTATTAATTTTATTACCTTTAATTAATTAATAGATGGTTTAAATCTTTTAATATAATTATACAAAAATCATTTGAAAGAAAATATATAATTCTATAATATTAAATCCGCAAGTTGGCGTATAATTATTTTTTCAAAAAATTAAAATTTTTTTTTTAAAATATATTTAAAAAAAATATATAATAACATCTGGGGAACAATTTACCATAAACTTCAATTCAGCAGAAATCTTGGAATTTAACAAATATTTAACATAGCTAACGTAAATTTTATCCCACTTGTCACCAATACACTTGGTGTTTTTGGTAGGAGTTCCTTAAATTTATCATATTGGATAAAAAAAGTTAGCTAAATCTGTCAAAAAATAATAAAGTAATTTATATACACCTCTACATAAGAAATCTTCGTCCTTTTTTACCATTTCAAATCACATGTATATTTAACAGTTAATCACAAAGTGTGTACTCGATATCGCGGGGTAAAATATGTGTAAATTTAATACAACCAATCCGAAGGTTTAGAAATAGACCAAAACACATGGTAGCAAAAATATTAATGTTTAGGACAATGTGAGAATATATTGGTCTTTAAAGAATATTT